TGTGATTTCCTGGGGGTGAACATATAGCACCTAGATGAGTCCTCTATAAATAGACAACCTGACTAACCCATTTATCCTCATGAGAATATTTCTCCCATTCCTCTGCCATATAACACTATCACCACCTTTCTCTCATTCGTAGAGATAGTCTGTGAAAGTTCTTTTAGGATTGATTCACCAAGGAGCACTATTCAGTTTGGATGACTTGACCCAGAAGTCTTTTAGATGTCCTGATTCCAGAAACTGGTTAAATGTATTTCATCTTGAGCTGGAAGAATCTGGTCTCCGCTATCTAGGACAAGCTATACTCAGGAACTTGACAAGGGCTGGTCTGCATAGTGAGGACAATGGTTGTCTTCTTTTAGATTTGGTGATCACTTTTTAAAAATCCTCCCAGGACTCTTACAGTATGGTTTACTGGCATAGAGTTTTCTCACTTGGGTAATTACTTTTTCCCTGGTATATTTAAAAGCAAATTCTAAAAACCGTGTTACTTTACCTACAAGTCTCAAATCTGTACTCAAAATTCCCTAATTGCCTCAAAGATGTCTTCTGTAGTTGGCTTATTTGAATTAAGGTCCAAACAGATCAAGTATCACATTTTGTCATATGTCTCTTAAATTTCTTTCTTTCTTTTTTTTTTTTTTAATTTTTGAACTCAGGGCCTCATGCTTGCTAAGCCAGCCTGGGCAAATAGTTTGTGAGACCCTATCTCGAAAATACACAAACAAAGGGCTGGTGGAGTGGCTCAAGGTGTAGGCTTTGAGTTCAAACCCCACAGTACTGCCAAAAAAAAAAAAAGGTAATTTCATAAAAATATCAGTTCTCCCAAAGTTAACTTATTTAATTTTCTTTAACTTATTTTTCTTTCTTTTCTTTTTGGCAGGACTGGGGATTGAATTCAAGGCTTTGTACTTGCAAAGCAGGCACTCTACCACTTGAGACACACCTCTAGTCAACTTTACTCTGGTTATTTTGGAGATGGGGGTCTCTTGAACTATTTGCCTGGTCTGGCCTCCAACCTTGATCCTCCCAACGTCAGCCTCCCAAGTAGCTAGGATTACAGATGTGAGCCACTCCTTCCTTCCTTCCTTCCTTCCTTCCTTCCTTCCTTCCTTCCTTCCTTCCTTCCTTCCTTCCTTCCCTCCCTCCCTCCCTCCCTCCCTTCTTTCTCCCCCCTTCCTTCCTTTCTAAGATGAGGTCTGTATGTCGTCCAGAATTTCAAAACAGTAGAGAAAAGATTGATTTTTTTCAGCAAACAGTGTTAGGCCAACTGGAGAGTTCTATGATAAGAGATCACACTGTATATTAGGATAAATTCCAAATAAATCAGAAGACACAGTGTGAAAAATCTCAAAGTACTAAAAGAAAACAAGAGTGAATTAACCTCACAGTAAAGGAAATTTTCTAACTATGATTTAGATTGCAGAAGCAAAGAAAGAAGATTGATAAAATTGATTATATAACAACAAAACTTCATTGCAAAAATTACTGTAAGAAAGTCAAAAGAGCCATGAAAAACTGAGGAAACTATATTGAACTTGTCATAAAAAAGAACATTTATGTTTGATATATAAAAGAGCTCCTAGATACTAAAAGGAAACCTGATAGAAAAAATGTATAACACACCTGTAATACGAGCCTCTCAGGAAATATAGATTGGGAGGATTTCAGTTTGACACCAGCTCAGGGAGAAAGTTGGCAAGACCCCATCTAACCAAACAAGCTGGGTGTGGTGCATCACATCTATAATCCCAGCTATGTAGGAGGCATAGGTAGGAGGATTGCAGTCCCAGGCCAGCCCAGCAAAAAGTGAGACCCTATCTGAAAAATAACCTAACTGGGTGCTGGTGGCCCTTACCTGTAATGCTAGTTACTTGAGAAGCTGAGATTGGGAGGATCAAAGTTCGAGGCCAGCCTGGGCAAAAAGTTCAAGAGACCATCTCCAAAATAACCAGAGAAAAATAGACTGAGGTGTGGTTCAAGTGGTAGAGTGCCTGCTTTGCAAGTTTGAAGCCCTAATTTCAAACTCTAGTCCCAGCAAAACAGCAACAACAAAAAATCTAAAGCAAAAAGGATTGGGGGAATGACTCAAGTGGTAGAGTGCCTACCTAGCAAGTATGAGGTCCTGAACTCAAACCCCAGTACCACGGAAAAAAAAAAAAAAGACCCAAAACTATAATGAGCCAGGAATGGTGGTACTTACTTGTAATTATAGCACATGAGAGGTAGAGGCAGGAGGATCTTTAGTTTGAAACCAGTGTGGCTACATAGTGAATTCCTGGATAGCATAGACTACATAGTGAAATTCAGCTAGCCTGCTGGGCTACATTGCAAGATGCTGTCTAAAAATATATTTATATGTATATTGATAGGGTAACACCAACTGTCCTGATTTACTCAGAACTTTTAGTTTTAGCACTGAAAGTCCTATGTTTCAGGAAACCCCTCAGTCTTTGGTAAACTAGGATAGTTGGTTACCCTACATATTGGCAAAAATCCATAGTTTAATTATGATCTCTGTTGTTGACAAGGCTGTGGTGAAACTAGCTGTCTTGCCAGTAGGAAGGCAAAATGGTGCACCTCCTATAGAGAAAGATTTATCTGTACCTTGTAAATTTATATATTCATCTGCCCCTACTCAGCAATCCTGCGTCTAAAAATCAGTTTTTAAAATTATTTATCATAGCAAAGAAAAAAAAAAAAAGAAGCCAGTAACAATTCCTACATCATCACTAGGGAAGTGGTTGAATAAACTATGGCAAATGCCTACACAGGAGTCATGTTGATACTTGGGTACTGCAGGTGATGGGTCTTTGTGATACGTTTGGGGAACACAAGAGATTTCTAGACACTTGAGATTCCATTTAGTGAACTGGATGGGTTTATTTATGAAGACTCAGTGAGATGTTCACTTATGATTTGTGTACTTTTTCATAGTATATTTAAAGTCAGTAAAGTATTTTCTTGAAAAGAATAAGGAGGATCTTTGAAAAAAACAATATGCAGAATAGTGTTTGTCATATGCTATCTTTTTTGCAACAAGGATTGGAAAGAATATGAAGGAAAATGTATATTTGCTTGTACTTTTGAAAAGATGGTAAAGCAATAAACCAGGAAATTAAAAAAATTAGTCACAGGTTGAGCACTTAGAATCTGAAAGTCTGAAATATGAAATATGAAAATGAATGAACTTTTTTTTTTTTTGAGACAGGGTTTCACTATGTAACCCAAGCTGGCCTCAAACTTGTAATCCTCCTGCCTCAGCTTCCTAAGTGCTGGGATTACAGGTATGATCACCCACGTAGCCCAAAACTTTTTTGAGTACTGACTGATCTGAATGCTCAGACTTTGGACCATTTTGGATTTCAGATTTTTTATTTATTTTTCTTTTTTATTATCTTTTTAAAATTATTGCTGTACTGGGTACATTGTGACATTTGCCAGAGTTCTTACAATATGTCATAGTTGAATTCACACTTTCCTTAAAATATACTTTATTTTTGTGGTGGTGGTACTGGGATTTGAACTCAGGGCTTCACACTTGCTAGGCAGGTGTTCTACCTGGATTTCAGATTTTCAGATTAACAATGTTCAACCCATGAAGTATATGCAAGGATTCCAAGATATGAAAAGCTTTGTAATCTAAATTACTTCTTCTAAGCATTTTGAATAAGGAATCCTCAACCTGAACTTATATTAAGAGGAAGAGAGCAGGGAGAAGTTACTGGGACCTGGATGAGACTTCTCTGAGGTGCTTTGTTATGAGGGTCTTTTATAAAATTGGGATTTTTTTTTTTTTTTGGTGGTACTGGGGCTTGAACTCAGGGCCTTCACCTTGAGCCACTCCACCAGCCCTGTTTTTGTGAAGGGTTTTTCAAGATAGGGTCTCACAAACTATTGGCCTGAGTTGGCTTCGAATCTTGATTCTCCTGATCTCTGCCTCCTGAGTAGCTAGGATTACAGGTGTAAGCCACTGGCACCTAGCAAAATTGGGAAAATTTTGGCTATAGTTTCTTTGTGTATTTTTATATTTTATTTAAATTTGGGGGGGGGTGATACTGGAGTTTGAATCAGGGTCTTAGTTCTTGCTGTGCAGATGCGCTGCCACTGAAGCCCTTGTTTTGCTTTTAGTTATTTTTCAGATAGGGTCTTGCTTTTGCTTGGAGCCTCCTGCCTATGCCTCCTGCATAGCTAGGGTTACAGATGTTCATCACCATGCCCAGTTTGTTTGTTGAGATGGGTCTTGCTAACTTTTTGCTTGGGCTGGCCTTGATCATTCCCATCTCTCCCTCCAGAATAGCTGAGATTGCAGGTATGCACCACCATGCCTGGCAGCATTCTGGGTTTCTGAGTTCAGAATCACCTACTGAGCTCCACTTACAGCATTCTAAGCTGTTTCTAGCCTGCTTCTCCAAACAGTTCCAAATTCCTCCTGTGAATGCAGGCCAGTTCCAAAGACTTACATACCACATGGTCAGACAATGACCCCACTTTTTTGGTGCCAATTTTCTATGTTAGTTTTACATTGCCGTGATCAAATATCTGAGCAAAACAACTCAAGGGAGGAAAAATTTTTTTGTCTCATAGTTTCAGAGGTTTCAGTCCAGTGTGGCAGGGATGGCATGGCAGAGCAAAGCAGCTCACATCACGATGGCCAGGAAGTATAGAGAGAATGCCTGCACTAACTGGCTTCTTTTCCTTTTATTACATCTAGGCCCAGCCTATGGGATAGGCCTACATTAGAGGCAGGCCTTCCCCACCTTAGTTAACACTCACACACACTCACACACACACAGATACATAGACACACAGACACATAGACACACAGACACAGCTGTGCTTTATTAATCCTGGTGCTTCCCAATCCAGTTATGTTGACAGTCAAAATTAACCATCACAGACATTTACTTTTGTTTTCCTTGTCTTTTTCCTGCCAGTTTGTTAAGTTCACTTTAGAAAGGAAGAACTTAAAATAATTTTTTCCTCTTATTTTTCAGGTAAAGAGGCTAAAAATCTCCTACTGAATGAAAACTCTTTTCTTAAAGTTGCATATATACCACGAAAAAAAGCCAAATGTTTTTCTGTTTTGCCTGAATACAAGATTTAAATAAGAAGTTTCCACAGAAGGTAAGGTGATTTTCTTTTTCACTTAGATTCTGCTTTACTGTATAATTTACACAAATATATTGTACAGATGGAAGTTCAAAGGGTGGATGACAGCAAAACATTTAGTTGTGGTGTTTTTTGCCTGGTTTATTTTTCTACTCGTTCTTTTTCAAATCTTATTTTAGTTTTGAATTTGCATACATTCCATACATGCGTATAGTGTACTTTGAATAAGTTCATGCCCTCCATTATGTATCCATTCTATCCTCCCCCTAGTTATGTGTATTTTTTGTTGTTGGTTTTGGGGGGGATTTTTGAGACAGGGTTTCACTATGTGGCTCAGGGTGTCTGAAATTTATAATCTTCCTGCTCAGCCTCCTAAGTGCTGGGAGTACAGGCATGTGCCCAATACTTGCTTAACATTTAGTTTTTGTTGTTATTTCTTTATTTCTTTATTTTATTTTATTTTATTTTTTTGAGACTGGTTCTTGCTGTGTAGACTAGATTGGCCTCAATCTTGTGATCTTCCTACCTCAACTTCTCACTGCACTTGACTAAAAGATTGACTTTTGAGGGTGTACATATGGTCTGTTATCTTTTGGTTGCTTTCTTGATCCTCTTGTGATTATTTTGAGATACTCTGTGTGTCTCTGGGCAAGTTTCTTGATCTCTCCAAGCCAAAGTTTAATCCATATAAAATGGGAACAGTCATGCATATTTAGTGAGGTATATATTCTATTTCACTTGCAGGAAACGCATTAGATAGAGCATATATACTGTTATAATTTTCACTAGGGTACACATTCTATGTAGAGGATGAAAAAGGTGAAAAGGGAGGAAGGACTTCTACCCGCAGCAGTATTAGATGCTTTTTTTTTTTTTTTTTTTTTGCGGTTCTGGGGTTTGAACTCAGGGCCTACACATTGAGCCCTCCACCAACCCTTTTGGTGTTTTTTTCCGGAATAGGGTCTAGCAAACTGTTTGCCTGGACTGGCTTTGTACTGCAGTCCTCCTGTCTCTGCATCCTGAGGAGCTAAGATTATAGGCATGAGCCACTGGTACCTGGCTAGATGCTATTAAAAGACTATCCCTTTATAATCTAAGTAGATGCTAGATAAATTACAATAAATATACTCAATCTCTCTATATCTCCTTTTTTTTCTTTTTTCTTTGCTAGGCAGGCACTCTACCACTTGAGCCACTCTGCCAGCCCTTCTCTCTTGTTTTTTGAGACACTCTCACTATGTAGCCAAGGCTGGCCTTGAATTTACTATGTAGCCTATGCCAACCTTAAACTCCTGATCCTCCTGCCTCTTGCCTCTGTCTTTCAAGTGCTGGAATAACAGTGTGTGCCACTATGTTTAGCTAATAAATACTTCTTATAAGCATTTCAGTGTATTAAAATTAAGATAGCACTCCAAAGAGCAAAACGGAAAAAGAAAACTAGGAACAGTGAGCATTATAACAGCTCTCTTTTGCTCATTGGTGAAGAAAACATAAATTTTCTTCAGAGTAATGCATGCTCAATGCAGATCCTCAGGATTTCTGTAGATTAAGTTTATGCAGTCTTGGCCTTATACTCAGAATATACACATGCACACCATTTTTTATGCATATCATTTTGAGGAAGATTTAGCATAATTAGATGTCCCAAGGCCCTCAGATATTGAATAATCTAATATAGCATGTATAATAAATTTGATAAAATGTTTTAAGAAATGCAAAATAGAATAAAAGTAACTAAAAGCGAAGTACTAAAATGAACCAAGTAGAATTTTTAGAAATGAAAAAAAAATGTTGAAAATAAAAACTCAATATGTGAATTAAAACATTAAACACTGCCAGGTGACAGTGACTCACACCTGTAATCCTACCTACTTGAGACACAGAGATTGGTAGGATTCAGGTTCGAAGTCAGCCTGGGCAAATAGTTTCAGACACCCTATCTGGAAACTACCCAGTATGATAAAGGGTTGGTGGAGTAACTCAAGTGGTAGGGCACCTACCTAGCAAGTGTGAGACCCTGAGTTGAAGTCCAATACCACCAAAAAAATTATTAAACACTGATGAAGATAGAATTAGTGAACTGGAATATATATATCTGAAAAATTACCCCGAGTGCAGCACTGAGAGATGAGGAATAGAAAAAGAGCTTTTTTTTTTTTTCCCCGGTGGCACAGGGGTTTGAACTCAGGATCTCACGCTTGCTAGGTGACACTCTTCCACTTGAGCCACTCCATCAGCTTTTTTTTGGTGTTGCATATTTTTAAGATAGGGTCTCACACAGTTTTCCTGAATTGACCTTGAACCTTGATCCTCCTGATCTCTGCCTCCCGAGTAGCAGGGATTGTAGGCATGAGCCACAATTGCCTGACAATTTCAGTATAGATTTGTGTATTAGATAAATTTTGTAAGAAAAACACATAGTCTTATATTTTTATAATGTTAGGCTTCCTTCTACTCATCTCTCCCTGCCCCCACACCTTATGGAAAACCACTGAAATCACTGGATTTAAAAAAAAAAAATCAAAAGACTGGGGATGTAGCACTTGTTTAGCATGCACAGGGCTCTGGGATTCATTCCCAGCACTGCCAAAAATTAAGAAAATCAAAGAACTGACGTAGCAAGGAACTTCTAGGTCAAAATGTAATAGAAAGTAGAGACTGAGGAAAGTCACTTAAGCACCACAGGATGGACTCTGTCTTTGTTCAAAGGGCATTTGTTGGTCTGGACAGAGTGAGGCTTTGATTTTCGAGGACTTCTAGGGTGAGAAGAATAGTTAAGATCTCAAAGTAGAGAGACTAGAGGAGGCCTCTCCACTTTGGATGGAGTTTTGGAGTACTGCACCCTTAGGGTTAGGGTGAACTGGAAGTGAATATGCATCACTCCATTTCATGCCCCCGCCTTCCTGTCTTTTGTTTCATGTAGCAGTGGAAAAAAAAGGAAAGAAAAGGAGAACCTGTCTTTGAGAATTGGAGCTATGGATTGGCATTTGTAAGGATTTTTAACCCAGGTTTACATTGCCTAATAGTTCAGAAAAATAAAGCATGAATTTAAGGTGTTTCTGGTTTGGTAATGCCTTTACCAAACCAGAAACAAAATCTCTCTGGAGAAAGTTATCTTTATCGTAAGATACAGAAAGTCTCTACCAATAGTGTTTTAAGGACAAGGATTAGTATACATACAAAAATGACTAAACACATTTTTAGAAACAATGTACCATGAGTTAGAACCAATAGAAACAACCTTTTAAAACTTCATGTAGGGCTAGGGATGTAGCTCAGTGATACAGCACTTGCCTAGCCTGTCCTAAATTCAATCCCAAGCACTACAAACAAAACAAAACAAAAAAGACTTCATATATTAGGACAACTGGGTGTGGTGGCAGAAGGTTGAGGAAGGAGGATCACCTGAGCCTAGGAGATGTTGCTTAGGCAACATAGTGAAATCTTATGTCAGGAAATAAGAAAGAAAAAGGAAGAAAGAGACAGAGGAAGGGAGGGAGGGAGGAAGGAAGAAAAAATAGTTTATGATTTTTTGTTTCTTTTATTTTGTTTTTATAGTGCTAGGGATTGAATGCAGGGACTCACACAGCTTAGACAAGTGTCTGTCACTGATCTACATATCTACCTCCAGTGTATGAGTTTAATAACAAATTATATGCACCAAAGAAAAAAATCAGTGAGCCAGAAGGCAGCTCAGAAAGAATTACATAGAATGAAGCAAAGAGAAAATGATGGAAAAATAGGATTAAGTGGCATGGAGCATAGAGGGAAAATGTTGACTGTATATTTCATTTGTGTCTATAAGGAAAAAAGAGGGAATGGGAAGATTTATTATTAGGAAAGATACAAGCTAGCCGGGCACCAGTGCCTCTCACATGTAATCCTAGCTACTGAAGAGGTAAGAGATCATGAGGATCCTGATTTGAAATGAGTCTGGGAAAATAGTTCACAAGACCTTATCTTGAAGATACTCAAGACAAAAAAGGGCTGGGGGAGTGGGTCAAGTGGTGGAGCACCTGCCTAGCAAGTGTGAGGCCCGGAATTCAAGCCCTAGTACTACAAACAAAAACAAAAAACTGCAAAACACCAAAGAGGGATCTTTTTAAATTTTTAATTTAATTCAATTTTTTTTTTAATGGAACTGGGGTTTGAACTCAGGGCTTCATGCTTGCAAAGCAGGAGCTCTACCACTTGAGCCACATCTCCAGTCCATTTTGCTCTGGCTGTTTAGAGGGTGAGGTCTCCCATACTTTTTGCCCAGGGTGGCCTGAAACCTAGATCCTCCCAATCTCAATTTCTTAAGTAGCTAGGATTATAGGTATGAGCCACTGGTACCTAGCTAATTTAATTTTTGTGTGTGTGTGAGACTGGGATTTGAACTCAGAACTTTCTGCTTGCAAAGCAGGCACTCTAGTGCTTGAGCCACACCTTCAGTTCATTTTGCTATGGTTATTTTGGAGAACTATTTGCCCAGGTGGCCTTGAACCACGGTCCTCCTGATCTCGGCCTCCGAAGCAGCTAGGATTACACGCATGAGCCACTGGTATCCAGCAGGAGAAAAGATTTATTTTGGCTATGGTTTCAGAGTTTTAGTTGATGGTCTGTTGGCCCATAGTTTTCGGGCTGTGGTGAGACAGAACATTATGAGGGAGCACCTGATAGAGCAAAGCTTCTCACTTTATGGCAACAAGGAGACACAGAGAGAGAAAAAGGGGCTAGAGTCATAACTCCCCCTTCAAGGACATGTCCATTAGGCCCTCTCTCATTAAGGTTCTACCCCCATCCCAACAGCATCACAGACTGAGGACTAAGCCTTTGATACATGAGCATTTGGGGGATTTCCAGGATCCAAATCACAACATAGTTTCTAATGTTCAGTAAAATAAGCAGAAGCCATCTTCACTTCATTGTACTGAAAGTAAACAATTACTAACATCTAACTTTATTAGTATTTTTGTTTTTGATTTTTGTGGTATTAGAGGTTGAACCCAAGGCCTTGCACATTCTAGGCAAGA